GTCTGTCTCTGTCTGTCTCTGTCTGTCTCTGTCTGTCTCTGTCTGTCTCTGTCTGTCTCTGTCTGTCTGTCTGTCTGTCTGTCTGTCTGTCTGTCTGTCTGTCTGAGCGAGCTTTTGGTGTCAGTCTGTTGATTTATTTATTTATTTTTTTCAGTTGTGATTATGGTTTGGAAGAATTTACTGAAATAAAAACCGTAAGTTTAAATATAATAATCTTGTAATTTCAAGTAATAACTGATTTGAATGGAATGATATGCATTCAATAATCTTTATTAATATATAATACCTTTTATTCATATTTTTAATTTGCATAATGTATAGTTCTTTGTATTTGTGTTTATAGGTGACTGTGAAGTTGCCCTACAAGAATTCCTAGTTGCATTACTGATGGAAAGATGAAGCTATGCCCTCGGTGGTGGATATATTAGATTTTAAAAATGTTCATAGTGATGTACAAAACAAATTGATTTTTTTACCAGGTTATTCTATTCATTGGCTTGACCTGAGCATGTTATATCGACTAAGAGTGAAGGGAATTTGTATATTCATAAAGATCTTTGTAATAGGTCATTACCGTCTGATGTGTTCAGTTGCTTCTTTCAACAATAAAACTCTACATCTGCTCTCTGCATAATCACTCGTCTTGTATAAGAACAATGGAGAGATTACACTTTTGGATTTGCAAAATAATTTGTAACTCTGGAAAATAGACCAATTACAACAGCAACAAAATTACAATTTACAATGTTGCATTAGACTTATTTTAAAAATTACAATTGACAAAAACCAAAAGAATAAGATTATTGTTCTCAACTTTACCAACAACATGTACATTGGTCTCAACTCTACCAACTACATGTACATTGGTCTCAACTATACCAACTACATGTACATTGGTCTCAACTATACCAACAACATGTACATTGGTCTCAACTATACCAACAACATGTACATTGGTCTCAACTCTACCAACAACATGTACATTGGTCTCAACTATACCAACTACATGTACATTGGTCTCAACTATACCAACTACATGTACATTGGTCTCAACTATACCAACTACATGTACATTGGTCTCAACTATACCAACAACATGTACATTGGTCTCAACTCTACCAACTACATGTACATTGGTCTCAACTCTACCAACAACATGTACATTGGTCTCAACTCTACTAACTACATGTACATTGGTCTCAACTTTACCAACTACATGTACATTGGTCTCAACTCTACTAACTACATGTACATTGATCTCAAC